ATTGGGTTTTGAAAAGTTAATTATTTTTTTTTCAAAAGAATTTTAGAAAAAAAAATAAAATTATAATGTAATTGGAAAGTACATGTATGCACACTGATGAGGATGTGGTAATGCTTTCATTTGTACACAAAATATATTTGACTGTCGTTACATATGACTTGTTCTCCATGCCTGATTGACACATACCTGTCAATTCAAGTGGGCCACATATTTGTCAGCTTTCTTTTTTGAAATCATAAAGCCTGAAAGGATATATCAGAGAGTCCAGTCATGCAGTCAACACCAGGTTCTACACCGCCGGACAAGCTTTATGTTTATATGACGCCATAAGTTCCGGTTTGGTCCGGTGGTTACATTGAATATGTTCCCAAAAAAGATATTTTTTTAATTTAATTTTTGTTGGTAGTTTTTTTTTTCAACCACGTTTTTGTCCTTTTTTTGCATGGGATGAACATGTAGCTTAGGGTTTGTCAATGCAAAAGTACAAGTACATTGTACCAAAACAAAAAATGATAAAAGAATAATATCAACTATAACTACAAATGCTAGTAAAGCATGATTAAACTTCCATTCAAATCAGATTCGTCCATGTACATGTATAAGTGATTATTCAGTTGGAAAATAAAACAAAATTGATATGGACGGTTTAAACAGCTCATGTACATGTATGTAACTTTGTCAAGTTATGTAGAGAATGATCATTGATATGAGTGGAGTCAGGTTGATCTTGAGGGGAGTCGAGTCAGGTTGGTGTAGCGGTACTTTCCTCGCCTTCCACCGCTGTGTCCCAGGTTCGATTCCTGCCTAGACCAACATGTGGACCGGGTTTTCAGTCCCAACCTGATTCCCTGGGTTCTCCCCAGAATATTCTTCTGGGGTTTTCCTCCCACCTCTAAAACGGTAATTTCTTCTCATTGTCTTTCTCTCTACAGGTTTTTTTCAGGCTTGCGAGCTACAGAGCCTAGAGCATTACCAGAAATAATTAATAATGATAATGAGATGTGTGGAGTTAGTCAGTAATGAGATTGTTATTGCAAAATCTGTATCTGTATCTGTTAGCTTCTGTACAAATGCCTGGTGTGGCTATCGCGTACAGCCTCATGGTGTATGTATGAGGATAACTGCCAGAAACACCGGGGCAAACCCCTTCTCTTAGCGATAAGTGTTTGCTGGGTTCTTTTACTTGCATTTATACAACACACGGGATCTACAGCTTTATGTCCCATCCGAAGGACAAAGCAATAATGGTTAAAGGGAATATACATCATTTGCTTTTGCTGTAATTTTCAGAAATGGATGGAATTGGGGGGTTGGAAATATAAAGCAAATATAGTTTCACTGACTTTTTGGAGGTTTTGGGTTCGAAAATGCTATAAAAACCAAGAAAAACGATCATTTTCCTGTAGTCTGGTTCCCTGACTCCATATAGGAAGAAACATAGCAGTTTACATACATTGGGGAATTGTAAGGTCAGGGAACCAGTCTAGCTGGCCCGTACCCGTTCATAGGTTTGTAATCGATTGCAAACAAGTGCAATGGTCAATTGGGGCCTGTATTTGAAAAAAAAGCCAGTTGTTTCCAACGCTGATCGGCCGATCAGCGTTGGAAATTGATACAAAAATACCACTTTTCTTGAAAATGACAGTATACCAGGTGCCATAATTTTACAGGATGCTTTAGACTGTCATTTACCAACATCCTATTAAGGTATTTCGCAAAAACTTGGTAGTTTTATTTTTCGATGTTTGCAAATGTTGTATATTCCCTTTAAGTACTTTGCTCAAGGGCACAAGTGTCCGGGCCTGGGCATGAACCCACGCCACTGTTGCCTCTGAAACACCAGAGCATGAGTCCAGTGTTTTTAACTGCTAGGCCATCTCACCAAAATATCATGTATTTTGATCAAAGGATTTGCACTTTCAAAATCCTGTTGATGCTCATTTGTATTTCTATTTAATTGCCCTTGTAATCCCTCTACACCCTTACCACAACAAAAAAAGTTAATAAAGTGGTCTTTTGAAAACATCTGTTTTTGCCCCCTGGCATTATCTGACTCGAAAGGTTTGAGCCAATTGCTCTTTACCATCAAGAGAGAATCAACGATGGCTAAAGCCCCCACAGGAAGAAAAACCGTTCCGCTGTGTGACTCTGACTCTAATAAAAGTTCCTTATTATATTGGAAGGAAGTTTGAATATGGGTCATTCTGTACATGTTGGGTCCACTTTTTTTCCTGTCTCTGTGTCAGATGATCTGACATCTATGATTTTTGTAAGTCTGATGTTAAAGGGAATGTTTAACATTTGCTTTTGCTGCTATTTTCAGAAATAAATGGATTTGGAGGATGAGTATGTTTTTTGCAAATATTGTTGAAATGACTTGTTTCACGTTTTGGGCTGGTAGATGCTGGAAAAACCAAGAAAAACAATCATGTTCTTGTAGTCCGGTTCCCCGACCCCACTTAAGATGAAACGGAGCAATTTAGAGACTTTGGGGAATTGTAAGGTCAGAGAATCAGTCTAGCAGGCTTGTACCCCTTCACAGGTGTGTAATCAATTGCAAAAAAAAACGCGGAATAACTAATTATGAATAGGAGCAGTTTTTGAAAAAAAGCCAGTAATCTCCAATGCTGGTCGGCCGACCAGCGTTGGAAAAATACTATTTTTCTTGAAAATGACATCACACCAGGAGCCACGATTTTACAGGATGTCATTCCTTAACAATCTAGCAAGGTATTTTGTGATAATTTGATCATTTCGTTTTGTGATGTTTGCAAATGTTGTATCTTCCTATAATGCAGTCGTCCTCGTGAAGTGATTATGAATAGCAATCTACATACCCAACGAATACAAATTCGTTTGGAGTTATTTCTTAATGAGGCTTGAATGACAAAGTACTAAGGTAACAAAAAAAGTGTCACACCTTGGACCCTAAATTAGAATGACCCATGTAAAAATGACGTTTTGCATAAGGAATCAAGTTAAAGCACCCATGCAATGTAATGTTTTAATGCAATCTTTGAAAATGCACCTTTGTGTCCCATTATTTTCAATTTTGGTTTTGCCATTTTGAATGGTATTTTGGTGCCTTTTTTATGCTAATGAAAATTTCCATATTCATGAGCAAAACTGTGATGTCATTCCGGGCAGAAACCTCCATGTTACAGCTATTTTAGCAAAAAAAGTTGCCAGAATTTTTGATATTTTGCTGTCATAAATTTTCTTTTCATTCACTGATTTGTAAAGTACATGGCAGTAAGCCAATGAGCAACCCTTTCTCACAAAACGTTTTCAATGAGCATATTTTTGGTTTACAATTTGAACAGAAAACCCCCTAAACTGAACCGAGAAATGACATCACAACAACAGCACCCTCAGTTGTCCGGAAAAGCATGGGAAAGTGCGCTTTTCAATAAAATTGACCAAAAAGGGATGTCAAAATAGTTTTCATACATTTAAGAGAAGTAGAAAGTTACACAAAATGTGTTCCTAAGAAAAATTCATTGTATGGACCCTTTAAAGATTCACTACACATTTAAGTGTACTTTTCCCCCAAATACTGGAAAACAATTTTTTTCAAATGTAGGAAAACAATGGTTCTGACTTGAATGAAGTCACTGCACTACTGGAACAATTTGTAACAAAGCCTATGCGTTCTGGAAGTTTAAAAAAAGAAAAAAAAATAGAAAAAAATTAATTGCTTTCACTCAAGCAGACCATGAGCAGACCAACCCCCCTCCCCCCACCTGACTAAAAAAATAATAATAAGAGGAGAAACTGCTCAATCTGCAGATCACTCATTGTAACGTCAATCATTTTTTATCTTCAATAATACCCCAAAATGTACGCAACCAAATTCTCACAAAAGGTGTGAGTTTCGAAGGAGGTCCTTCCGTTAACAATTCGTTTTTATGGGTTGAGTTTCACAGTCGGATAGTTTTTGTGTGGCTGTTAATACGAGCAAAATATACGTGTCAGAATTTTATGGAGGTTTGGAGGAGGTCTTTTCCAGTTTTTAATTATCTGTAATGGTCTGGTTTTCACAGTCTGATTGTTTCTTATGGCCCTAATTTCTTCGACCGTTCACGGTGGAGTAATCTTCACAAGTCCAAACACTTTACTCATTATCACATCTGCTCATCCATAACCTTAAAAACTGCGAACAGGCGTGGACTGGTTCAGGCGGTTGCATAGCTTTTGTTTGAGGTGAATAGGGCCTACAGGATGCAGTTTCTCGGCGTAAGGACATATTTTCTGGAAATTGGTTTTCGACGGTTTCACAATTCGCCATTGTCCGGGGTCCTTTCTCTAGGGCTTGACACCAAAGTCTGCACTGATTGTAGGCTGTGAAGTGCCACGGTACTGGTCCAGATATTCCCTAAAGTAACAAACCCAGACTGATTACATGTTTCATTGGACTTCGCAAAAGCATCGATAAACGGCATTCTAGTTTAGCTGGATTGTACATGTGCTTCGGGCCCATAGACTTGCCTTTGTCACAAAATCAAAGCTGCTACCCGCCACAGAACACAAACCGTGGCCCTGGGGAAAAAAATCATTTTGGAAATTTACTGGAACAATCTTCAGCAATCCTCGACAATCGACCCTAATGATCTAGTCTTTGCTGTATAATATTGCCATGTTGATTTCTATAAAAACAGTTTTTAAAGTTAAAAGGAAATGAAGGGAAAGGAATGAATTTACTCTCCATTGAATTTGAACCCACTCTGAAACATAAAATAATGAGAACAGGGGTGCGCTTTGGCGGTCATAACCAAGAATTGGTTCGGTGGTTCCTTGTCTGTGAATTTCTTCGGCAATTTTAATTGGATTAGAATTATGCATGATCATGTAGTACTCAAATTCCCAAAACAATTAACCAAAGAGAAACCATCGAACCAATTCTTGGTTATGACCGCCAAAACGCACCCCAGATTTCTAGAGCTCATCCATATAAAAAGGTCCCCCAAAGTTAAAGGTGACACAAAGTCACACAATGCTTCTTTAATACAAAACACACCACAAGTGGCCCATTGGAGGGGGGAAAAAGACATTTGATGCTTCGCAGAGTAAAACAATCCATTAATTTCACCCATCACATGATAACAATCTGACATCCTTTCAAGCATGGAGGTGGAAAACATTTCCTAAATCAATGCTTCACTGGCCTCAACTGTGAAAAAAAAAAAAAAAAACTTTCCAAGTTTAACACTTCCCCTCCGAAAATATTGCAGCTCTCTCCACCAACCCCCTGAATGACTTTAGAACAGTCCGCACCTTGCAGTGACTTCAGCTAAGCCCCCTTACGTTCAGTCATGCGTGGACAGTGTAATATCCTACATCGCTTGTAGGCTGTCCAACAGCCGGGTAAAGCCAGCTCAATCTATCAGTGTACATGCCAGACGACCGTTCGGCCGTAACCACATCAGGCAAGCCAATGAAGCCATGCCCATAGAATCCTGCCCACATAACACTGCTGAAAAAGCTGTCACCCAAACTTTGGCCAGCCAGTTAGCAGGGTCTATGATGTGGCGCGTTCTCTCTAGAGCGCTCTGTTGAGTCAGCTTGGATCTTGGAATCTGATGCACTGAATCCTAACACATGATCTTCATCTGTTTGATGATTCACTTTTTCTTTCTGCAAGGGAATTAGCTCTGTCTTTCTGCTTTTTTGTGACAGCTGTGTTATAAACTCTCTCTTGTGACTTGCACAAGTGCGAGTCGACTGTGAGGATTGTAATTGTATGAAGAGGTCTCGTCGACATCAGATTTGTCCCGAGTTCATCAGTGGATGTATAATTCCAGTTCTTCCATATTGGAAAAGAGACAACCAAGTGGACAGTCTGGAGAACATCTGCCAGACTTACATCAAGAAGAATTTAGTCTTACCTTGTGGAATTATAACAGTCTATTGGAGATAAAGTGTCCAAAAGTTTCAGGTGAGTTATTGCAAATTTGAAAAAAAATTGAAATGTTAGGAGTGATTTCATGGTCATGATGGTTAAAACTATTTATAAAAGTATCTTCCAGGAAAAAAGTTGAATGTCATTTTTGAAAATGTGTGATAAAGTACAATTAGAACAGTGCAGCCCTAGCATGTAAAAAGTAATATCAAAGTTATCAATGATTTGAACAAAAAAATTAGTTTTTCCTATACTGTTTTTACATATTTACATAGAAAACTGTTGTCATTACATTCTCACATTTGCAAGTCATAAGCTCTGATATGATTTCATAATTGTTATCATGTTATCAAGGCCACATACATTTATATGGGATTAACCTTTAAATTTTGTGTGGTCGATATAAAGCTGTCTTTTGGAACTTGTTGGGATCAAGCCTTTCCTTTGTATCTTTCATCAGCCCAAAAGTGTGTTTATAAATGTTTTTCACTCGATGTATTGACTTGAAAAAAATTGAAAAACCATTTTCCCTGTAAAATAAAGGTTACTCTTAAATAAACAGTATGTGTGCATTTTGTAATTCTTAAAGAGGTTGGTTTAAACTGGGTGTCCCTGATAGTAGTGCTAATGAACACGTTTTGGTTGTTCCGAGTAAAGTTACATAAAGTTTAAGATATCCATCATTAGTCTGTCTACCCCACCTCTCGTCGCATGGTTGGTAAATCACATCATTTGGGGCACTGGAGCACTAGTCAGAACACACTGAGGCACAGTGATTTCACTAGTACATTGTGGTCGCATCTTTTGTGGATGTAACTTTTTTTCGTATCTGTACACCTTCATGCATGCATCACGCCATTCATAGAAGAGGAAGCTGTGATCTTGTGGTTTTGCAGTGCGGAAAGAGACATTGTATCGAGCTGAAAGTGAATTTCAATGTTCAGTGTTAGTAGTGCTAATGAACACATTTTGGTTGTTTTGAGTAAAGTAACATAAAGGTTTAAGATATCCATCATTAGTCAGTCTACCCCTCCTCTCGTCGCATGGTTGGTAAATCACATCATTTGGGGGCACTGGAGCACTAGTCAGAACACACTGAGGCACAGTGATTTCACTAGTACATTGTGGTTGCATCTTTTGTGGATGTAACTTTTTTTCCTATCTGTACGCCTTCACGCATCCATCACGCTATTCATTGAAAAGGAAGCTGTGATCTTGTGGTTTTGTAGTGCGGAAAGAGACATTGTATCAAGCTTAAAGTGAATTTCAATGTACAGTGTTCACAGTCTGTGACTTGGGTGCTGTTCAGTCAAGCATTATGGAACATTACAAAGACTGATGTGGCTCTTTTTTTCTGTTGGTCAATTGTTCTTATCTTTATTATTCTAAAAGGTATTATGAATCATTATAATGTCGAAGTAAATTGCTTTTTCTGTGCCTCGAGATGAAATAAAGTAAAGATAGGCCCATGTACAAACACTACTTAAAACAGATGTGGGCTTTTACAACTTTTCAAGTTCAATGTAGGCTAGTGACAGCATTGACTGGCATGCAACGTTTCCTCGGATCTGCTGATTTCCTCCTATTTTACTTCTCATGAATGCCATTACAAATTGAAAAAGACTGTACAAAGTCTTGTGTGGTTTGGAGTTGCCTTGTTTTTTCTAAATTCCCAGTTGCATGCCTGAAGTTGCCATTTAAAAATATATTTATAGGCCCCTATATTTTTTTTAATCACCCCCTATATTTGTAAAAAAAACAGCTAATAATCTCTTTAACACTGCATCTCTTAAAAGAGAGTAAAACAACATTGTGGGCGCATGTTGCTGCAATGAAAGTGGAACTTAGAAGAATTTTTAGTTGTAATTTTCTTAAATTGAAATGTTTTATAAACACTATACATTGAGGGGCCTTGGATCCTGAATCTTGCCAAGTCTGCCACTGTGCACTTAACTAAAGTAGCACAGTGTGTCCTCTCTCAATTGAATAGATTACTGTATAGAAATTGGGTAAAATACTGTACTCAGATGTCATTACCTAAAACCATAAGAATTCCCCCCCCCAAAAAGGAGACTTTTTTATCTTTATCCATCATCAGTTCGTGCTTTAGTACAGCCCCCTATCCCTCGCCCCAAAACCACTCCATCAGCAAACCGTAATGCAAGCACACTTTTCTCCCAGAGAATCCATTGGTCCAGGATACTTTTTTTTTTCTGCGACTGCAGAGTGATTTTTTTTTTGAGGAGTGCTGATTGGGGAGAGGTTAAGGGGTGACAGCAATCTACTATTTGTCATTTTCATTAGTCGGGGAGCGTTTGGATGGAAAAAAGGAATGACTCAAAAATTCCCGCTGGGCCGCGACTACTCGATCGACTCTAGATATTTAATCAGTCTAGCTAGTGCCAAACGGATTCACATTAACAAGTGTTCAATGTGAAGTCTTATTTGACAAAATCAACTGCCATATTAATGTTCAAATTTATTGCAGAATTTTCTTGTGTACATGTTTTACTTTACTTCACCTGTTTCAGATGGAGAAAAAAGTTAGACACCTTTTTAAAGGATCAGTTTGAAACATCCTAAATGATAAAAAGTTAGAGATCTTTTGAAGGTTGTACTGTTTTTTTCTCAGATTTATTAATACGGAACTCTTTATTTTATCCTCAGATAACAAAAGCTAGGAGATGCTGTGCAACATTTGAAGGAAATCGTCAAAGGAAAAAAAATAAACCAACAATTTTCTGAAGAGAATTGGACAAAATCTGTGAAGGAACGCCGGAACTTACACAACACTTTTGCGTCAAGAGTCACACCCGGACGAATCGCATTCAGCGTAATTGGACACAACATGGCAGCCAAACTTGCATTTCTGGGACTTTTTGTCGTCGCCGTGGTGAGCGCAATGGACCATGACAGCTGCTTCCAACCTGTCACACGCATCATCAAACATCAAGGTAAGGTGTCTCTCTGCTTTTTTTTTTCACGTTCAGAAGGTCTCCGTCTTGAAGTCATTGCCAAGACTGATATAGCAGCTGCTTTGATGAATAAGCACGTTTGGTATTTCACCTGTGTAAGTCAAGATTTGATGAGTTTTTCTTTCAGGATAAACATTTCGCCATATGCATACAAAATCATAGCGGGTACCAGAACAGATAAAGAAATTGTCTTGTTTTTAAGTAAGCTCAAATTACAAAAAAGTTTTGACGGCAGAGTGTTTTTAGGTGTTTCGTATGTCCCAACTTTTGTGTGAACGCAATCATCCTGCAGTTTTTGGAAGCCAGTTTTCGATACCTCATCCTCTATCTTCCTTCTGTGCTATGGAAAGTGTGTCATTCAGTATACAGAAATGTCTGAGCAAATACTGCCGTACTAAGTTTCACACAAGCGCCACGGCTGCAGGCTGTGTGCACTTTTCGTCAAGCGGCAAAAACGCTAGATCTTTTTGAGCTTCCCTGACACAGGGGACGCGAACAAAAACAAGAAAGTAGGGTAGATTTGGCTAACCCAGCAGGGTGTTGGTCTGTGATATCGTCATATTGATATCACGGATGCTGTGCGATGTACCAGGTGGTCACCCACTGCTGGTCTATAGTGTGCTTGCAATGAAAAACGTAACACACAGTAGCGGATCTAGAGGGGGATTTGGGGGTTGCAATTAGAAAATGCTTCCACAAGCTTTGTTGTCAATCGTGCCCAGGGTAAAAGCTTTTACCACGGGACACTGCATATCCAACCCACTCAAAAATGTGTTGATTAATCAATCATTTTAACATCATAAAATACTTTATTTATGGCTTGAATGTGCTCAGTCATACATGTAAACTGGAGCGAGGACTTGAAATAAAAGTGGGGGGGGGGGGGGAAGGCCAGACTTTGAAAAAGGACCACACCTCCAAGGGATTATTTTTCCATACCACACATTTGCTACTATAGAGAATTATGCTGGAGGGCGCTATACGATTGTACATAGCAATAATATAATGTTTAAAACAACCATCTTAATTGAGTCACTGCTGCAGGATGTTTTTTTTTTCTTCATCTTTTCTTCATTTTTTTTCGTAAAAATGTTTGTTATTCATTTGGCACATTTTTCTTTTGCCAATTTTGTGGTTTGGAGGATTAATTTTTTTCAAGAAGGCATGCAACTGTTCCTCAGATCTGCTGATTTCCTCATTTTTTACTTCTAATGAATGCCATAACAAATTGAAAAACACTGTAAAATATTTTGCGTGGTTTGGAATTTCCTCGTTTTTTCAAAAATCCCAGTTGCACCCCTGTTCAAGTGAAAATAAAGTCAGAGAACCAATCAAAGTGCTTCAATATACACCCATAGCGAATGCGTGGTATGGAAAAAAATATCGCTCGCGGGCGTTGTTGGTTGCCTGGTGTTGGGAGCCGGGGGAAAAGTCAGCCATCTTGTAATTGCACGACAGGAGCTATAATCGCTGACAGATGGTGGTCATTAGACCGGCCTCCTGTAACAGATCCAGAAAACCGGACAAAGGAAGACACTCCTAAGTGAAAAGAAATTGCTGTGGGCTGGGGGATAATCTTTGTGGTCAGCCCAGTCTAGGATGAGATGTTCAAGAAACAAACAAGGGTCGGGGGAGTTTGCACCAAATGCGGTGATTAAAAATAACTATTGGCCGGCTCTAGTAAAGTAAAAGTAAAGTCTGTCGCGAGCCAATGCGACCCATCAGGCCGGCGTTTATCTCCGGTTTCAGTAGCATGAAACAACTGAGAATATTTCTACTCCCCCTGGATGGGATGCTAGTCCATTGCAGGTTAATCCCCAGCTAATGCTGGTACCCATTTATAATCCTGGGTGGAGAGAGGCAAGAGGGGGTGAAGTGGCTTGCCCAAGGACACAACATATGACCAGCAGCTGGATTAAACCTCTGATCAGGAGTCACAAATCCTAACCACTAGGCCACACTCTGCCACTTTGGCCTCTTAACAAACCCTGTAATATTCAACTTGATCAAAGTTACATACATGTACGTGTATTATCAGTGACATGCTTAATTCCTCTATACATATTTAAATTAATCCACCAACCACAATTAGTTAATTAATACAAAACGTAGGAAACTGACTGAATTCCCTTTTGATCAATATTTCACTGCGGTTGAACACAAACTGACTGGAGCACGATTTTAACCTGTGACCCACTTTCTAAAATTTGCGATACTTGGCAAGCCTGAACCCTCCGTTCCTGAAGGGGTGTTGAGTGCACAGGGCCTGGGCGCGAGCATGGCGACACCTCGGTAATGTCGACCAAATGTGGTATTTGGATTAATCTGAGCCCTGTAAATTTGTCTCAAATTGTAAATCTGATGCAACAAATACTTGTAAAAGCTATTTTATCTGTGGGAATTACAGATAATTTTATTGAATAACTTCACGATATTGTTCTCAGGGTGTTGGTACATGTATGTAGAGGAAAATGTTGTCAGTTCACATGAGTCTTAATTAGCTCTAAATTAAACGTTTAGAAATTGATGATGTTTTATTGAATATGGCTGCATATTTGATTGAATATGCCGAAAATGATGTCTTCAATTTTTTTTTTAAATTTCCCAGAAATGTTTAATGGATTGAGAAGTTGGGAGTGGAGGGTGGACAAAGGAAGGGGACTGCAATGGGCTTGGTTGGGGTAGTAATGCTCCATAAGTTTGTGAAGCTTTGGCAACCACCTGTTACAAGGAGTGTGATAGTTATTTGGGGAGCGGAGGTCTTTTTGGGGGGCGAGGGGGGCACATACTCTCATGAGAGGCAAGGGTTTTAGCCAGAGGGGTGTAAGGGTGTTTCCAATAGGGACACCATTTGTCATGTTATTTTGGGACAACCTTCACTTGAGATCTATCAGTTGTAAGCGTATTTTATTATGTACAAAATATACCTGTAAAAGATTAGTTGCCCGATGTAATTGATTGGTAAGCATGGTTGATAACGGTAGAAAGTGCCTAATTTCCGTAGGTAGGTTGCCAACTTGATTTTGACCTAGATGGCATGCTGTTTCTGTTGTCTATCATTGCATATTGCATCAGATTTCAAAAACAAAGGTCCACGGTGCCATGCCACTCTGAGTACAAGTATCTTGTTTGTTGCCAAACCTGTTAAATGCAACAATATGCTCAAAAATACATGTACATATGTGAACAACACAGTACACTGGTCCCACCAGATGTTGTACGCTGACAGACCGCTCCCGTTGGCCACACCCAAACGCAAGCAGATGTCTAATCTCAGCCGCGTTTCTGGTTCCATTTTGGGGCCCAATACCCTTGACACCCCGGAGAGCTTCCTGCGCCCAATCCCTCCGCTTAATCTGCAGGCAATTTTCTTGATAGTTTAAACCAAAGCAACTGTTGAAAGCCATATTGTGGACTAGAATACCTGTTAGACACGTATGGGGGTAACCTGAGGGAGTAGTCTGTGCCAGCTAAGCACTTCCTTTAAGAGACAAAGGTCGTTTTGTCGTGGGAGACTTAACAACTTACTTTGCCACTAAAAACGTCAGACTACCCTTCTCAGACTTAATTTCTCTCCAAGTAATTTCTATTGGCTTGAAAAAAGAGTAAATTGTTAAAGTTGTGAACTTTTTAACTGCATGTTGTACGGGGACAAAAACTTTTAATTAATGGCATGTGCATTGTAGGAATGCTATCAGCTCTGCTCTCACACTGTAGAGGGCAGTTTTCAGGGCACTTTTTACCCTGTGGAGAACACCAAATAGCATATTTGTATGTTTGTGTGTACACCGGGTGCATTAAAACAAAGGTGTCCATCATAATGTGTGTAACTTGTGTAAGAAGTTCTTCAACAGAAAAATAGAATCAGACCGTTTCTTCCAAAAAGAACTGAATACTTTCAAACCCCCCCCCCCCCCCCCTCAGAAAATAAATTGGCCTTATTTTATTGAGCTGCTGTACACCAGTGCAAACAGAGTTCACCGGACGTTTTCAACAACTCACAAGTTTGGGACCTGTGATACACGTGTAGCAGATAACCCTCCCTGGCAATCCAACCAATATGTTCATCCACTTTTTACCCTAAATTCTTTAGGAATGGCCCGCTGTTCCCATTGGATCACCAAAGGGTCACCTAATTCTCCTGACACTTCGGAAATGTAAATTGCAAATTTCTTTCTATTCCATTCTCTGGTTGCCCTCAATTTCTACATCTTCTTAAAAAGATCAATCAGGTATCTGCACTCGGTCATTTTTCGGTCTTATCCTATCTCACCTTTTGATCTCTCGCTCGCCGAATCTTTTTTTATAGGTCAGAAATGCCTGGGGATATTGCCTTTAGAAGGGTAGCTCTGTCATAACACCCGTTTCATAGTACATGGGCCAAGTCTTTTTTTGTCTGATCGATAGAAAAAAACTCAAAAGTCAAATTCCTGCCTAGCCGCCTGCAATTTCCCCTTTGTGAATTGTGAAATATTTACTCAATTTTGGGGTCAAATAGAAACTTGTTGGATATTTTTTTTGGATAAACATGTAGATGCTCAACAAGGAAGAGGTTCATTGCACCTTTTTAAACTCTAGGGGAGCTGCATGTGAAACGAAAGCCTGTTTGGGTCAGAGTTTTGACTTGAATATTGTGAAAGAGAATTTGAGTGGTACCAGTACTGCTCTAGTTTGTTGTTTTGGTACAGCACTTTGCTGAAGTTCTTCTCCTTCATCCTCTAGCTATTTAAACAGTCACAGACAGTCAAAATTCACTTCCACTTCCCCTGCTATACTTTTAACACAGGTTAGTCACCAGCAGTCAGATCATATGTCAAGCAAGCACTGTAACTAGTCAAAAACTGGGTCAACAGACAAAGCAAGCAAGTTGTGGTCACAGCTGTTTTATCAGTCACCCCCAGTCAAAGCATAAGCTGTATCAAGTTACTTGGAACAGTCCCAGCCAGTCAATCCTGCTTTATATAGGCTGGAAATTGGGA